TGTGATGTGACCCTGTTCCCCTCACACACACGATGCGTTACTCAGCGCTGCGCAAAACTCTGCATTTGAACAGTCAATAGCAAATACTTAAACTAGTAACAAAACATACTTACAGTCGCTGATTCAGAAGCGTCAGATTGTCATAGCAAAGTCGGAATTGACCCTTTTTTTTTTTAGAAATAGCCTTTGTGCACAGCCAGCTTTGTACTCTTCTAGGTTCAAAAAACTGTCGTCCATAAAATGCGTTGTACAAATTCGAACATCTGGGTTGTGCTGTTCTGTTGTAAATAAATCTTAACCAATGATTCCTAATTGCATCTACTTCCGGAAGGCCAAATAAAGTGCTTTTGCTTTCGCACTGAATCACACAGCGTCTCCCTGACATGGCTGCATCAACACTACTGTTGTTCCTGAAACCACGCCTTCTTTCTTTGCATGCACATTTGGGCAGCATTATGCTAATATTGCCACATAGGGATGTAGATATGTGGGGGCGTGTTAGAACGAGCCGTTTTAGGTAGGCGTGGCTGACTCTTAACTTTTATAAAGAATATCTCTTTGGATTTGAGACTTTAGTCTTTGCAACTTTACAGATCTTCTTTATGCACCAAGAGCTTGTAACACTCCAAAGAGAAAGGAAAACTTGAAATCGCATCATATGACCCCTTTAAGCTGGTTCAAGATGTGTTGTAAGCAAAGTTAGTCACTACTGTCATACAAAAGTAAAGCTACTGAATGCTTCTTAAACTTTTTAAATGAGAACCCATATTGTGGCATCGCACACAATACTGCTGTTTTCCATGGGGTAAGTACCATGGTGAATTTTTATAAGGGTATACTCTAAAAAATGTTGGGTTGTTTCAACCTAACTTTGGGTCAAATATGGACTAACCCAACTTTTGGGTTAAAAATGTAATGTAAAAATTTAACCCAACGGTTGGGTTAGTCCATATTTGACCCAAAGTTGGGTTGAAACAACCCAGCATTTTTTAGAGTGTACCAACAAAATAACTTTCTAAAGTTTCACATTTCAAAACTTTTAACCCTCTGGTGAGCTTGTACTTGGAGGGTGCAGGGCTTTAGTTGTGCGAGCGCCCGATGGGGTTTCAATCAAATGGTGTATTGTACCATGCTTTACCCTATTGTTCTCCATTAGCGGCCAGGCATGGCCGCCTGCCCTGCCTCACACCACTGCTGCAGGATAGGAAAGCATTCAATCTATCGTCATACGGTGCGAAAAGTGCAGCAGTAAAGCATGGGTGATACGGGGGAAGTCATGGCCTAATGGTTAGAGAGTCGGACTCGTAACCCAAAGGTTGCGAGTTTGAGTCTCCGGTCCGGCAGGAATTGTAGGTGGGGGGAGTGAATAACCAGTGCTCTCTTCCATCTTCAATACCACGACTGAGGTGCCCTTGAGCAAGGCACCGAACCCCCAACTGCTCCCTGGGCGCCGCAGCATAAATGGCTGCCCACTGCTCCGGGTGTGTGTTCGTGTGCACTTAGGATGGGTTAAATGCAGAGCACTAATTCCTAGTATGGGTCACCATACTTGGCCACATGTCACTTCACTCACTCACTTTTTTTGTAGCGTGCAATGCTGCTAACAACCGACGTGGAATAACTGTGAGAATCCAAACAGAAAGGTTTTGCTGTCCCGTCTTCTCAGTCAAAATGCATGAAAAAACATCGATTAAACACCGATAATGAGAAAAAGCCCAAACCTTCATGTCTAACGTTAACTTCTGAAGCCCGGCGTCGGATGAGCTATTTTCTTCTGCTTTTTCTTTGGAGGAAAACATTTTTCTTCGTTTCTGTGCACCGTTCTGTTGGACAGTCGGGTTGACATACTAATTATTCTTTTGGGATCAAACATATGCCATTAACAGTTGCAAACAAACAATGAGACATTAAATACTCAAAATCACGTCTCCATGGATGATCTTACGCTGAAGCAGTCCGCTTTTTGTTCCTCTTCCTCATCCTCTTCATTTTCGTAGTCAAGAATTCGCTGCGCTTTTGTTTTCCTTCTCATTTCTCTCCCATTATTTTATTTGCGAGCGAGAAAAAAGGCTCCACTCTGCATAATGCAGTTACGCCGTATTAGACTAAAATAACACTATCTCTCTTTCTGAGATTTAGACGCTGCACATCTACTACAGATGCCGACAACTATGTTCCTTTCGATTATTCTACTTCAGCTCAAATACTTGAGTGAATCCATGGAGGGACAGCACTTTACCGAGAAATGACAGGGAACACATTTGAGGCTAACGCACCGTAGCGTAACGTGGCACGAACTCGAGTCCCGTCTAGATTCAATCTAAATGCAATCTTCACAACAACAGGAAATCCTCTGCAAAACATTTACCATGGTAACCCTAGTTTCCGCCAAAATACCCTAGTTACTACTGTAAAATCTTGATAAATCTATATAGATAGTCTTTCAAACAGTTCAAGAAGATTTCAGAATCTTTTATTGATGGCACTCTGGTCATCCAAGTTACCATAGTTTTTAACTGCAGTAATTATGTCCGCAGAAACTATGGTTACCAAGGTAAATATTTATAAGGGGCGCTCTTTTAACTCATGTTTCCCGACCCGTCGATATGTTAAATATTGTATACGCGCTCATAAACAATAGGGCATTTCCAACTACAGTCTTATTTACACGTTTAGAAATTTAGCCTGACAATTGAGAAAATTAGATTCGTCATGCAGTTTTAAGGACGGATTCCCGAGGCGTTAATTAAATAATGACTATTCTTGCACTGTTTATAGGAGGTCCTGTATTATGCTGTAGCCTATTAATTTCAAGAGCAAAATTATTTTTGTTCCTGATCTTTGTTTCGTATTAAGGGACACTTTCAGGTCAGGTCAATTAAAGCTGTTTGCTTTTGTAATTATTGGAAACCCACAGTCACACTAGGATGTTTCTTAAAATTAGTTTTCAAAGTCTTAAAGAGCCTTAAGCAAATGTGAATAGATTTATTGATAAGGTGGAGAAACCGTAACACTATTTAAGTTAAATGCAGTTACACAGTCTCATTTCCAAGTATCAAAGTGTTTTCTAGCATAAAGACATTCTCTGAAATGTTTCTGATCCAGTGATAACCAAATGGTTAACCAAAAGCTTGACGTCTTTCAATGGCAATAGATGTTTACAGCCTACAAATTACATTTCCATTTCCAAGATTTTTCTTCAGTAATCAATTGTAATGCTTTCATATTTTCATCAGTAACTCCTGACTCATGCAGCATTTTTATGAACAACAGTTTGTTTTTGTTATAAGGCAATGACCTATATGGTCTGTTTCAGAGTTCATACTTGAACATTCAATGTGGCCTCAAAAGAAATTGCAGTCCAAAGTTAACAGGGCTCTTATATGTAATTCTCACTGTGTGTGTGTGTGTGTGTGTGTGTGTGTGTATTTATTTATTTTTTACCGGAATTTCTCAATGCATATCTCAGAGAGAATGTGAGTTGGCATTCAGTTCTTTTTCCCACTGCCTCTCAAGGCTGACTGATGCAAGCATCTGACACAAAGAAGTATGTTTGATGTAGTTATGTTGTGTATAATGATGTGTATAATGTTATGAGGGGGAAGTTATAATCTTGATCCCTGTTATAGACCACAAGTCCGGTCTCTGTCAAACACGTTCAATGAGCGCCATCTAGTGTAAATAAACGTATTTTACAGTAAAGTATTTTATTGAGTCAACTTGTTCAAAGTGATATCATTTAATACAATGAATTACATTAAACACCTTTAAAGATCAAAATAGCTGTAATTCAAAATTCATCAAGCAAAAAAGATAATGTTATGAGGAGGGAAGTTATAATCTTGATCCCTGTTATAGACCACAAGTCTGGTCTCTGTCAAACATGTTCAATGAGCGCCATCTAGTGTAAATAAACGTATTTTACAGTAAAGTATTTTATTGAGTCAACTTGTTCAAAGTGATATCATTTAATACAATGAATTGACTACAATATACATAAGTTACTTTTATCTGTTTGCTATTTCGTGTGCCTCATAATTGTTTTAATGTTTAAAAGTTGATGAGGCTATTTATTTAATGGCTGATGACACGTGACAACTTAAAGGCACAATATGTAATTTTTTGCCACTGGAGGGCGCGTATTCAAAATAAACAAAGAGACAAAGGCGTAGTTTGATGACGCCGTGACTGAGTGTGGAATCATGGGAGTTGTGGTCTTCATCCACACAGCCGATGCAATCCGACGGGACTCGGGCAGAAGTCATGTTCATGGATGAGCTAATGATTTATTAACGTAGTAGAATGAAGCAGGGTGAGTCTGAAAGCCGTCTAAGCGAAACACAAGTCAGCAAAATATATAACACTGTTCTAGTGGTTTTTGGATATTTTAATAAAAAAATCTTACATATTGTGCCTTAATGTAGAATCAAGAGTCAATGAGGTAAAAAAAAAAAATGTATAAATGCACGATATGCATTTTTCTAAACGTCAGCAGAAATAGCCAAGTAGCCTTGACTTTATATGCCAATTGACAATTTACTTTCAAAGATAAGCCTACGCTAAGAAATAGTCACTTGAGTAAAAAGTGTGACAACTAGCCCTATATGATAACCCATTACTTTTTTTTTGGCATAAAGCATGATCCATTTATTAATCTCGGTATCAGAATATTTCTGGCCAGTGTTTTAGTGCTTTCAGTAGGGTACCACTTTAGAATATTGCAAATTTTGCCAATATTGTATTCCCACGGAGAGCATCAAGAAAATGAACAAAAATAAAGGCGGGACAACTAATAGAACTTAAATAGACAGATACCAGTTTTATGTTATTAAACAAAAATCTTATTTATAGGTTTGTATACAACCGGGACTTTTGATGAATGATCTCATCCCTTATGTGTACTGGAATATTCTACGCGTGCGCAGTGGCCGCATGTTTCAGCACCTCAGTTTCGGCCAAGTTGTCGGCAAGAGGAAATTCTGCGAGTCATGGTGGGCCATTCAACGCGAGGGGAGTGATAACCATATAGAGATCTAAGGGAATAAGTGCGTAGTTAGTTAGACGTGACTGATGACAGTGGCTGTGTATGCATATAGAGGCATTCGGAGTCATTTGTCAGTAAACTCTTCCTGAGTAAGTATGAAAACGGACTATTTTGATGCTATGCTAACGGGCTAAGTTAGCTATAGCTTTCGAAATTGCGAATGTGGGAGCGTGTGTCAGTGCGGCTGCTGCAAATGCACAAGACAGCTTTGCTTGAACTGAAGGAACCGTTTCGAACGGATAGGTTTAACCAGTTGACAAGAACTGGGTAATTAATAAAAGTTGTTATTAGTAATTCAATGTCCCCGGTAGAACCCCGTCAGGGCCCGCCTCCTTATTGGCTGTAGCGCGGAGAAAAAATGAGTGATGGATATTTTGGCCAATCAGAGGCGGTTGCGCCACTTGTTGCTAACTGCTGGGCTATGATAGCGGAAGTGTAAGAGGTCAATACTTCACAGTGCTTGACCAAGTAAATTGTTTTTAGATGGGTTTTGAATAGGAGGAGATGAATATAGGCAGTGAATGACATTAGGCCAAAGCTCAGTCACCGATCTACAATTTATGGTGTCGAATATGCGCGATTCCTTTGCGTACTTTTGGTTATTAGAGGGATGGATGGATTGTGAGGTGGGTGTATGTGGTGGGAGGTCATTAATGTTTTATAACAACAGTTTCATAGTAAGACTAAATTGTCACTGAATTGTTATGATTAGGTTGTGTTGCAAACACTTTGTTGTGGTATCTGATGTGCTTTTATAAATCTGGTGGTATCTGATGTGCTTTTATAAATCTGGATGTGTTAATGTTAGAATGTTGAAAGGTAATTTATGTATTATACTAGGTTATGATGCAAACATCTTTGATGTTCTTTAACTGATTAAACTTTAATTGCAATTTTGCAATTTACTTGCGATTGGAAAATGTATAATATAATTGCTAATAATTTAATTGTACATTTTTGATTTTTTTTTCTTCTCTCTCTATGCAGGCTTGGTGAACTTTGATAATGCATGCTTACAAATATTAAAGCTGGATATAATTTGGGTGAAAAAAGACAACAAAAGAGGATTTATCTTCACCTTTAGTTCTGTTTTATTAGAAGCACATGACTGAAACAAAGCGAGCATCCTTTTATCTTGTGTCTGCTTTTGATTTTCTATTGTATACAAGGCTGACCATAACCTTAATTGGGTTTGACATTTGTTTGTGTGTAATTTTTTGTTTTTGCTTTTTAGTTCCTTTTTGAGTTTTTTCTTTTTTGTTCCTTTGCAAAGAAATGCTTTACTTGAAAAAGTACTTCACAGAGGGTCTTATTCAGTTCACTATCCTCCTGAGTCTAATTGGGGTACGGCTGGACTTGGACACTTATTTAAACAATCAGCTCCCCCCACTCCGTGAGATCATCCTGGGCCCCAGCTCGGCCTACACCCAGACGCAGTTCCACAATCTCCGTAACACCCTGGACGGCTATGGCATCCATCCTAAAAGTGTGGACCTGGACCATTTTTTCACCACTCGTCGGCTTCTGAACCAGGTGCGCTCCCTGGATCATCTGCGTGTGCCCAGCACTGAGCTGAGTGCCTGGCTGGTGCATCGTGACCCTGAGACTGTGGTTTCGGCAACCAGTCAGTCCGGCCCCAGCATTGCCCTGGACAATGGGGGCAGCCTGGAGGACGTGAACAACTCCGAAGCCTCGGCCATGAGAGGGGCTGGTGGTGCTTCTGAGACCACTTACAGCCTCAGCGGAGAGGACAGCCTGGGAGCCGTGGCCCCTGAGGACAGTCAAGAGCAAGGGGAGAGAGAGAGCAGTGACGACCTCTCCAAAGAGGTACAGCAGCTGTGTGTTTTCAGCTTAGCCTACTGTAATTAGATTGACATTGGTTCGTATTTGATTTCCTCAAAGAGAGAACCGTGTTATGCTATTATCTCTAGCCATTAGATTAAGCATATTGCATAGTGGCGATTAAGAGCGTTGTATGTGAGCTAGTAGTATTCTTACTCTACATTATGAGCCTTACAATAGTGGCTGGACAGGGGGTGGTCTCATCGATAGAGCTGTCTATCTCTTAAAATTAGGTAGCTGTGCTAATGTTAATGTTTTTAAGTTAAAGGGATAGTTCACCCAAAAATGAAAATATGATGTTTGTCTGCTTACCCCCAGGGCATCCAAGATGTAGGTGACTTTGTTTCTTCAGTAGAACACATTTGATGATTTTTAAGTCCAACCGTTGCAGTCTATCAGTCTTATAATGCATGGCAATGGTAACAAAATGTATGAGAGTAAAAAAAACATGCACAGACAAATCCAAATTAAACCCTGCGGCTCGTGACGACACATTGATGTCCTAAGACACGAAACGATCGGTTTGTACCGAACAGTATTTATATAATTTTTTACCTCTAATACATCCACTATGTCCAACTATCTTTGTGCGCGCGCACGGCTTCTGGTGTGTGCGGTGTGTACGCGCTCTGGCGTAGTTTACGCAAGCGCCGGAAGTGATCTCTCGCGCGTATACATCACTCATTGTTTACACAGTGCACAGTTATTGTAGGTACGACGGCTAATCAAATGGTACTTACTTGCGCTTATCCGGATTGTTCAAACCGACTTAAAACTAAAAGATTACGTTCTCTCGCGCGAACTCATTTGGGAGTTATGACTTTCCACGTATTCCCAACTTCTGAGCCTGCTCGTCTGAAGTTATGGTTGATTGCTCTTCGGCTGGATATCAACACACTGTGACGAGTCGGCTGCCTCCCCCTAATTATCAGCATCACCCCGTCCCTTATTCGCTGCCCTTCGCCAGGCTCCCGACATGAGTGGGTGCGTGTGAGAGGAGGGGCGCTGAAATAGCCAGGGCTGGCGGCGTGTGTTGGGGCACACCTGAACCGAATGGAGCCTCATCACCGCCGCTGTTTAAATGCCGAGCGCGCCTTTCCTCAGGAGACCGGTCTCTTCCCCGTGCATGCACGCTGGTGTCCTCGTGGGTCCAGGAGGGGTGCGTAGAGGGACTCCCGTGCCGCCAGAGTCATGAGCTGCCGGACCCGCAGTCCGGACAAGAACCGCACCCCTTTCACGGCCGTCGGGCAAGGATGCTGAGCCATCTAGTCCCTTCAAGCGCCGTGGGCAGAGAGAAGGACGAAGCCGCTGATAGAAGCCGCCGCCCCGGACCGGCGCTGTTCGGTTTCTGGCACAAACCGATCGTTTCGTGTCTTAAGACATCAATGTGTCATCACGAGCCGCAGGGTTTAATTTGGATTTGTCTGTGCATGATTTTTTTACACTCATAGATTTTGTTACCATTGCCATCCATTATACGACTGATAGACTGCAACGGTTGGACTTAAAAATCATCAAATGTGTTCTACTGAAGAAACAAAGTCACCTACATCTGGGATCCCCTGGGGGTAAGCAGATAAACATCAAATTTTAATTTTTGGGTGAACTATCCCTTTAATAGTAATGTTAATATAAAATTTTCAAGCAATATCACAGCTTGACATGTGGTACAAATAGTGCACTGAATCAAATCGATATTGTAGTAGTTAGGGATGGGTCACGATTTTTGAATATTCGATTAGTTAATTTAATTATAGAATATCAAATAGGTTGTGCGATTACTGTCTTAAAAATTTCCTCATGTTTTCTGTGCTGATGCGGTGGTGACGCGTTCATGTGGCGCTGTCAATAACGCACCTAAAAACAGTCAAAGACAACAGAAGAACACATTGTCTCACGCGCACAGTGTAGACTTGCGTGGCATGCTGACAAGCTACACAAAATCGCTTTCAAAATCGGCAATGAATCGCCTGTGATTTTGTGTAGCTTGTCAGTGAACTACGGCTCTGTGTAGTAAATGGCGCTCCATCTGAACGCACGTGCTGGAGATTTACTTCTAATCACAGGAGTGGCTTTACTGACGAGATGCGCATGAAAATCGCATCCGATTTTTTGCACAGCCCTAGTGTGGCAAAAAAAAAAAAAAGACTTGCGTAGCATATAATGGTTACAGTAACTTGGGACGAAGTCAAATAAGAGCTCTGTGCGGACCACAAACACCCCCAACTGGGTTAGAGATGTGGCTAAATCCGTATTCAGAAAGGCACGGAAAACAAATAACGCATTCTACGGAGACACTAAAGGGACATGGTTAGCAGCTTGCTAGCGGTAGCCTGTTACATTACAGTAGGGCTGCACGATATATCGAAATTATCGAAATATCGCAAATGTAAATATCGCAATATGCATATCGCAAGGGCGTTTCACATTCACATTTTTATTGTTTGTATGTTCACAGTGATGTTAAATTACATTTTCTGATTTGTGACATTACTTTTTATGTAATGCTAAAACACTGCTGGTCACTTTCAGAAGTTATAGTGATTCTTTATTTTCCAAGAAAGTGAAACAAATTTTTAAATATTTTAAAATATAATTAAAATGCAATATTTAAGCAATATAGTATCACATATCGAATATCGCATTTTATAACAAGGTATCGCATATCACATTTTTCTTCAAAATCGCACAGCCCTACATTACAGTAAATAACATTTCACTTACCACATAAACAGAGTAAGGAGAGATGACTGATAGGATGATGGCGAATGATTAGCAGATCCTGAGCAGCAACTGACATACTGACAAATAGTGCTGGGCGGTATGACCAAAAATTTATATCACGGTATTTTTCCAAATTATACCGGTTTCACGGTACATGAGGTATTTTTTTTTTTCATGCATGACCAGGTGTTAACCATATTTTCTACTGATTGAGAGAGGAAATACTGCAATCTATTGACTTAGTATGCCCTATTTTACTGCCATGATGAGTGAATATTGTCAAAAAATACCACACTAAATAGTGACTGAACACGACCCCTTTTAATACATGTTAACCAAGAGTCACTCTTGTTTATAATCACGGCATCGTTTGATAAAATCAACATACATCTACACTAAAGAGCGGCTATGCGGTTGTTTTGGCTATATTACTTTTTTGTCTCATGCAGCGCACTGCCTGCATCTGAGTAACAAACTTTAAAAAAAACACACATTGCATGTGATATTAACAGACGAACTACGCTCATATTTATAATTCCAAACAATCAGTAAGCGACAGGTGCTTGGAAACGCTGTTTTGTACTCATTTATTGACGAGTCGGCTGCGGTGCGGCCAACTGATTTCGCTGCTTCTCTGCCGCTCACTGCACAGAACAGACGCCGAGAGAGGTGACACTTCTCCAGGAAAGTCAGACCTCGCGTTCGCAGGACAGCACTGGCGAAATCTTCCAACTGAACCATAGCTAAGGTTTATCCAAAAAAGTCGCTAGGTTTGTCAGTATGAATATCCTATGGAAAAAAAACACAAAGGGTCTGAAAGTTGCTAAATCTAGTGCTAAAGTCGCGCTTGTGTGTGTGAGACGCGGGAGCTGATGGCAGGAGGCGGTGGATATTTGTGGCGGACAGTGTGGATAATGTGGATGAGTTCTTCTGTCTCGTCACGTTCTATTAGTTCTACAGCTTCAGTTTCGGAACGTTGACGCTTAGTAACACATACAGCTGTTCCCTCACCACAGCGCAACAGTGAAAAGGGACTCCTTTCAAACAATGTCGCATTTCGAACGTTGTTTAAGCGACATAAACAACAGTATATATATATATTGCAGTATTTTAAAAATTAATATCATAACAAAAATAAACACCGGTATTCGGCTCCCTGATGGCCGCAGTTTATATACAGTATAATTACCCAACAATATAATTGCGACAGAAGATATTGAAGTATATTTTTCATCCCATCTCGTATCTATTCCCTTTAAGGATTCAATTTTCTGAAATGGAAATGTCCTAGCCTTATGAGCAGTTGATTTATGCTAATCGACGGACTGTTATGTTAATAAGTGCAGTCATTCGGTTATGTTTATTATATTAATATGTTTCAGCACGTTACAATCATTATATGGATTGAGTTAAGGTAGTCTATCTTCTGAATTAAACAGTTTATCATACAGATTGAAAGCGTGAATTTCGTCTCAATCATTATATGGATTGAGTTAAGATAGTCTATCTTCTGAATTAAACAGTTTATCATACAGATTGAAAGCGTGAATCCCGTCTCTCTCCATCTCTCTCTGTTTATGGGTGTTTGTGCGTGCTTGCAGGAAAGGGGTGCGGTTTTCGAATAATATTCGAATAATACCCTGCGATTTTCGAATATTATTTTTGCTTGGAATGCCCATCCCTAGTAGTAGTAGTAGTATTTTCAGTAGAGGTCTTCTACTCTTGTCAGGACCTTACAGGATACGTAGCATTTCATTTTTTGATAGCGAAGTGGTTCCTTTGTGATTTATTTATAAATACATGCTTGGGACAATTAGCCAAATAAGAGCTGACCAGTCCTCATCATGTCCCTCATTAAATGTAATTATCTAATGATGTTCTGTAATCTTAGACCTTTTATGACACTCCCCTTTAATGAATATATTTCTAGGACATTGACCTCATAGACATCCTTTGGAGGCAGGATATTGACCTTGGTGCTGGCCGAGAAGTATTTAACTATAGCAGTCTACAGAAGGAGAGTGAGGCTGATAAACCTAACGAAGAGAACGAGGAGGCAGGTGGAAGAGAGGAAAGCTGGAGAAATTGACTTAATCTCCAAGCAGTGCAGATCCTTACTCATGTTGATGGAGAGACAGGAGAGAGCATACCTATGGAGGTATGTGCTGTAATATGCTAGGATTACAGGGAGGTGTGAGGAGCACAGCAAGGTTTCGGTTAATAATGCTTTTAGATTATTCAAAAAGGCTGGTAAACTGTAGATGTTAAGTGAATTTGAGTCAGCCTTGGAATTACATGGACTTTTCTTGTTGTATTTCCTAGCTTACCAGTCTTGGTGCTCAGACTTCATTATCCCTGCAGGAATGTCTGAGGCTTCTGGAGGCCACCTTTCCATTTGGAGAAGAGCCAGAGGTAGCGACAGTAAAATTCATGCTACATTACAGATTAAAACTTGGCATTTTTTATTTGATTGTCATTTTACATTGTCTTTTTCTCTCTTTAGTTCCAAGCCACTGGATCCACCTCACAGCTTAGAGCTCCAACTGAGGAAACGCCATCAACATCACAAGGGATCCCCCTACAAGCCCCTCTGTCACAGTCTGACACACCACTAGACCTGGAGCAGCAGTGGCAGGACATAATGTCCATAATGGAACTGCAGGTTTGTGAATTTATTGCATTCAAAGTCGATGAAGGGAATATATACACCCAATACACTGCTCAGTGACAGTGGTTATAATAATATCAAATTAAATATAATTTTTATATTATATATAGGATATTATCATTTTCCTTAAACCTTAAATTAGGGCTGAGCAATATGGCCAAAAAAATTATCACTATAAAATTTTTCATATCAGTTGATTTCGATTATTATCCCGATTAATTTCACATCTTTATTTCTTTCAAGTTAAAAGGAAGATTTTTGCTCCTAAGTGAAAGTTGTAGAAACCAGACCATTAATTGTAGTTTTAAACCTCTCTTCATGGTCAGAGCATGACAAACACTTCTCGTTTTTGAATTCTTTACCCTTTATTTCTTTAACAAAATAAATATCTTAATAGAAAATGTTATTTCTTAGTTTCTGCCTGTTTTAATGAGTGATGATTGTTTCAAATCATGAAAAAGTTTTGTGTTGCCTGACTTCTTTGACGCTTATCTTCAGCACAGTTTGCAGTGCAGGCTGCAATATTAATATTATTATATATTTTTTCTCTTAGAAATGCACATTTGACAGTAGCTTGAGTTGATAGTAGTAGTAGCTTAAGTAAGGATGCAGGTATATTTATGTTCATTATCAAAAACAGCAACACCTGTAAAAAACAACCTAATTTTTATATGTTGAAATTTAATTAATCTGATGTTTGAGTTTTAAATAAAATTATCCACTGGTCTTCCATAGTAGCATACATTTAGATAATTCACAGTTAAAACCACACATATACCACCTCAATAATACCATGGTAAAAATTTAACTACAGTGGGGAAAAAAAGTATTTAGTCAGCCACCAATTGTGCAAGTTCTCCCACTTAAAAAGATGAGAGAGGCCTGTAATTTTCATCATAGGTATACCTCAACTATGAGAGACAAAATGAGAAAAAAAAATCCAGAAAATCACATTGTAGGATTTTTAAAGAATTTATTTGCAAATTATGGTGGAAAATAAGTATTTGGTCAATAACAAAATTTCATCTCAATACTTTGAGATATCTGAATGAAAAACAGTAGTCTAAATAAATTTATTATGAATGCACAAATGCTATAGCTTAATCAAAAAAAAAATACTGTAATTATATTCCATTACTCCTTTAATATTTGTCTACGTTAATAATATAATAATTATAATTTATATGAATATTCCACATTTCTGCCACTACTACTGCCAGTTAGTGTTACTACAGTAAATCATGGTAAATGATGGCGATTTGTAGATTGAACTGTGTCGTTGCGCACAGTGTTTCTCCTGTTTGTCAGTGCCGTTTCATCTGGTTTTAAAGGGGTCATAAACTGAGAAATCAAATTTCTTTGAATCTTCTGACATATAACAGGTCAATATACTATAAAATCATCCTGTAAGTTTCAAAACTTTCTCGTTAGTTTAAAAATGGCTTTTATTGAAACCAAGCTCAGAAAACGACTCGTTTTGGAATGTGCCACTTTATGACGTAATAGTGTGGCTAAACACCGCCTCCGCAGAAGAAGATCAACGCCTGCGTCTACATCACTGCCTCTTTAGCCCCACCCACTGATACATGCTTGTAGTAGTAGGAGAGGAAATTCTAGAGAGATGCAAACACAGGATTACTCCATTAAAAAGGAACCATACAGTTGACATTACAAGATTACAAGACACTGTGTAGTGTAAGCTGTGAAAAATAGTCTTTGAATTGCCTTTCTTGTGATCCTAAGTACATCGGACGCAAGCACTGTTGTGTCATGTCGCGATCCATTTCTCTTTCAGGTCAGAAGCGGCGCGAATGCTTGCATGTCAGAAATAGAGCGGGACATCAGTTTACTGTTGGAGATTTGTTATGTCAATCCGTGCCACATCCAGTGTAGACAGAATGTCTGGTGTAAACACCAGGTAAAGTTAGCAAAGAGCTCCAGATCGCATCAGTGAAACACTGTTCGTTCGTTTGTTTGTTTGTTTGCTTTACTTTGCAATGGATTCATTTTTAAACAAGACAGTATGATGAAGGCTTTTCAGAGAGACTGAAAGTAAATGGCAATGCAATCTGAGTCTGACTTGAGTGGATCCAACAGTAATGTCGCACAGAAATATGAGTAAACGTGCTTTTACCACTATTGCATTGTCTGTTCTAGACTGTTTGATATATACTGTGTATTTATACGTTTTTAACCCAAATGACCCATGTTGTTTTCAGAGTATGTCTCAGCAGCGTCCATCTGCTATTTTAATAAGTGAAACTGTTTGCCAAACATAGCAGTGGGCATTTACTTGCAAGTCTTGAATGCACCCTGCCTATAAAAACAGACTGTTCTGCAGAGAGGCTCAAAAACAGGATTGAAAATAGCCTATTACTTCTAAATTATGTTTTTTTTAATGTAAAATCAAACATTCAACATTATAAGTGAACCTCAGAGAACATTATAAAATCATTTTTTTAAAATGCAGTTCATGATCCCTTTAAAATATTTTAAATCACTGAGTCATTTGTGTTTGCTGAATTCATGCGCTTCACACTGGATCTCACAGCGCTGTTTAGTGGTCGCGTGACCGAGACTTATCAGCGAGTGAATGCAAAATTTTGTTTGAACTTTGAGCCGAGTGGATAAATGATTAAATACCCTACCTTAAATATCTGTGAGTGTATACATCTTAATCATTATATAAAAAAATATATATATATTTTTTTTATAAATATGACCCCAAGCCTTTGGGTAATCACATTACATTTTGAAACCTAACCTTGCATTGTGCTAGAAAAGTCTAATTATCTGTTGTTGTTGTTTTTAAACAGACTAACTGAACTTAACACAGCATCATTAGGGATATGATATAAAAAATATTGCATATATATGAAATTGAATTGTAAATTCAATTGAATTGTCGAATTGAAAAAAAAAAAGTCAAGGGGGATGGTGGGGCGGGGGGGCCTGTGATTATGAATAATTAAAGGAAAGAAGATGTGGTTGTTTGACCAATCAAATGAAAGTTCAGCAACGCCCACATGCACGAATGAAATATTTCCCATTTCTCGAGTGTATTCCTCCACAGAATGTCAACTTTCAATTTTTGGTTTATACAGAAAAACGGAAAAACTAAATATTGACCGTTTTTCATTTTTGTGAATGGAATAATTGAATGATAGAATGATACATGGACCGATCAGTCCTTGCGTGTTTAAGTGGACCATGTGGAAAAATATGAATTCTAAAACTCTTCTTAAAATGTAGCCCTATGCCCAAAATTCAGACCTACACCATCCACGAGTCAATATTGAAGTTATAATAAAATATCAAAATGCACTTTATGTTGTCCAGCTGAATTTTAAGGGGTCATGAACTGAAATCAAACTTCCCTTGATCTTTTGACATATAACAGGTCAATGTAGCCTACTAAAAAACATGTAAGTTTCAAAACGTTCTCTTTAAAGAGCTTTTATTAAAACCGTAAGCTCAGAAAAGGACTCGTTTTGGAATGTGCCACTTTATGACGTAATAGTGTGACAAGGCACCGCCTCCGCAGGAGGTCAACGCCTACTTCTACGCCACTGCTGTTTTAACTCCGCCCACTGATACGCGCTTGTAGTAGGAGGAGAGGAAATAGAGAAACACAGGATTACTTTATCAACAGAACCATGCAGATGACATTACAAGATTAGCCTACAAGACATGTGTAGTGTAAGTTGTGAAAAATAGTCTTTGAATTGCCTTTCTTGTGATCCTAAGTACATCGGACGCAAGCACTGTTGTGTCATGTCGCGATCCATTTCTCTTTCAGGTCAGAAGCGGCGCGAATGCTTGCATGTCAGAAATAGAGCGGGACATCAGTTTACTGTTGGAGATTTGTTATGTCAATCCGTGCCACATCCAGTGTAGACAGAATGTCTGGTGTAAACACCAGGTAAAGTTAGCAAAGAGCTCCAGATCGCATCAGTGAAACACTGTTCGTTCGTTTGTTTGTTTGTTTGCTTTACTTTGCAATGGATTCATTTTTAAACAAGACAGTATGATGAAGGCTTTTCAGAGAGACTGAAAGTAAATGGCAATGCAATCTGAGTCTGACTTGAGTGGATCCAACAGTAATGTCGCACAGAAATATGAGTAAACGTGCTTTTACCACTATTGCATTGTCTGTTCTAGACTGTTTGATATATACTGTGTATTTATACGTTTTTAACCCAAATGACCCATGTTGTTTTCAGAGTATGTCTCAGCAGCGTCCATCTGCTATTTTAATAAGTGAAACTGTTTGCCAAACATAGCAGTGGGCATTTACTTGCAAGTCTTGAATGCACCCTGCCTATAAAAACAGACTGTTCTGCAGAGAGGCTCAAAAACAGGATTGAAAATAGCCTATTACTTCTAAATTATGTTTTTTTTAATGTAAAATCAAACATTCAACATTATAAGTGAACCTCAGAGAACATTATAAAATCATTTTTTAAAAATGCAGTTCATGATCCCTTTAAAATATTTTAAATCACTGAGTCATTTGTGTTTGCTGAATTCATGCGCTTCACACTGGATCTCACAGCGCTGTTTAGTGGTCGCGTGACCGAGACTTATCAGCGAGTGAATGCAAAATTTTGTTTGAACTTTGAGCCGAGTGGATAAATGATTAAATACCCTACCTTAAATATCTGTGAGTGTATACATCTTAATCATTATATAAAAAAATATATATATATTTTTTTTATAAATATGACCCCAAGCCTTTGGGTAATCACATTACATTTTGAAACCTAACCTTGCATTGTGCTAGAAAAGTCTAATTATCTGTTGTTGTTGTTTTTAAACAGACTAACTGAACTTAACACAGCATCATTAGGGATATGATATAAAAAATATTGCATATATATGAAATTGAATTGTAAATTCAATTGAATTGTCGAATTGAAAAAAAAAAAGTCAAGGGGGATGGTGGGGCGGGGGGTCCTGTGATTATGAATAATTAAAGGGGTCATATGATGTTG